AAAAATTAGAAAATAATTTTTGCATTATTTATGCTGAAAGTATTATAAACTATGATAAATAATTTTAGCATTATAAACTACATATATCATTAATGTTGTTTATGTACATATGTGTATATGTACTGTCTGTTACAATTCAAGATCCTTATATCAAACTAACATGATCTAACGCTATTACTTTATAAATTCATTAAATATATCACATATTATTAGTATCACTATAAATTTTACTATCTAATTATAAATCATGTTCACTGAATATTCTATTTATTAAATCTTCCGTATTATAATTTATATTTCTAAGCAAATTTAGGTATTTTATATAATTATTGGTGAACATATTCATTCTCAATTAACTATCAGTTTCAAGTGATAATTTGGTAAGATCAATAATATCCAAAATTGTAAGAGTATTATTCGCCTGTTCAACAATTTCCGATAAAGTGATTTCTTGATTATTTGAAAGTGGGTATTCTTGATTTGAATCAAGTAAATGTTCATCGATATCAGAAAAAATAGAATTGTTGACTGAATCTCTTAATTCTTGTTAAGTCTTTTCCATAGTAAACCAATTCTTTTTCGATATGTGTTAAATAATAAGATCAAATTTTCGCCATTGATTCAATATGATGAATGTCAAGTCTGTGTTGATTATTTCTATAAAACCACTCCAACATAGAAAAGTTTCTTTCACATCCTGCCTGAGAAGGTATTATTGAAAATAATTTAATTGTGAGTTCAATTAAAGGCTGCTCTTTTTCATCAAATATAAGCCACTAATTAAGAGAAGTTTTACTTTTTTTTTATATTCCATATCAAAAAGATCTTTATTTCGCTTATATTTTCTAAGATCAGCTAATAGATTTGAACATGAATACTCAACATTTCCCAAAGCTTTCTAATACTTAGCCGCAATTTCACAAATTCGTCTAAATGATCCTTGTTTTAATCCTAAACCACAATAACCAGGATGTAAAAAGTATCCAAGTAAATAAGCATTATGGTCAACTCATTATATTGATAATTGAATATGTTAATGATATTATTTTTTAGAACATTTTTATTAGGTATTTGATTAATTGCAATAGCCAATTTTATATATTCAACGAAACAATCAGCTATTGTTGCAGTTTTTGATT